CCTGGCCCTGGGCCTCCGCGCCCCCCAACCCGGATTATAGCCATCCCCGACTAGAACGGAGACGACAGGCAGCCTCGGGCACAGCCGCGACCCACTCAACCAATCCGAGCGGAGCATCACAGCACTTTTTTCTGAATAAATAGAGAACAAAATAGGAAACTTCAGAAACTGTCTCGTGAAACTTCTTTCAGTCGTATGTACCTGTCACGCTTCCGCACACACGGCCACAAGCAGGGACACGACACAAAACTGGTTTCCTTTTGCAGGACAGGGTGACATGAGCTTAGAAGATGCTACTCTAGGACAGTGTTCCCCTGACTTTGTTTGTGGCCTGGACCCCTAAAACTCTAACTTCGGGCTGTAAAATAGATCAGGGAGCCGCTGAAGACCCAGGTCCTGTCCGACCCGCTCCTAACGCCCTGTCCCATTGCTCACGTGCTCCAGACCCGGGAACCTCCCAGGTCCGGGTTCACAGTCAAATGAGCAGCGTGGCTGCCAACGGGGGTGCAGGGCCGATGCGCGAGCCCGGTATGCACAGTGTGCAGAAATCATCGTCTGCTAAATGGAGGTGCCCTCTGAGGCAGGCACCTCCACTCAGCATAGCCATGTGTTTACTACTGGTGTTTACTACTCCCCAGTGGCACTAGGACCTGTGGCTTCAGCCACAAGTTCCAACCGACCTCCAAACCCTCGTACCCAGCAAGAATTGGGCAGTGTCAGTAAAGTCTCGGGGTTTAGGAGAGAAGCCACAGACACCAAGAACCCAGAGGCCAACAGTGCAGACCAGTCGGTCTCAAGGGCGGAGCCCTGTTTTAGGTGCTAATCGGACTTTACCTTCTAGAAGTAAGCTTTTTGCCTTCTGAAGGTGAGCCAGGAAAAAAAAAAAAAAAAAAGGAAAAAAAAATCAAGCCACCTGTGTTCCCAGCAGTTCAGATTTACCACGTGAGTTAGTGCTGAAGCCCCAGTGGGCCTTTTTGATCAAGCGACTCCTCCCTGCTTCTGCAGAGCCCCTCATGTAAGTCGGGGGGCTAGGGGTGGTCACCTTACAATGTCCTGCAAGGTTCATCATCGAGGCCGACAGATGGGAAAATGGGCCCCAAGAGGTTAGCGGCCTTCAGTGAGGCCACAAGGCAAGTAGCGGGGGGCCAGTGGCCTCGTGGGCCTGCCGGAACTGGAACTGGGCCTGCCCCCCACAGCTGACAAGGACGCTGCTTGCTTCATGCCACACTCCGCTGCCAGCCTTCTTGTCTGGCCCCCAAACCAGCGTTTTCTAGGGTGGCGACCCACCCTCCCCTCAAGAGACCACATCCACATGTGTGTGAAGCCTTGCCTGGCCTGCTGCTCTACCCCGGAACTCTCTGGAACCTGTCTGTCCGCCTTCCTAAGATGTCCAACAGGCACCTCAAAATCACCGGGTCCAAAGCCAGAGCCATTAACGTCCTGCTTACTCTGCCCCCGTGTTTCTGATCTCACCGGGGAACCAGCAACACCCCCGCCAGTAGAGGCCTCAGGACCAGATGACGATTCTCTGTCATTTTTTGCAAAAAACACTCATGGGGACTGCCGGCTTTCTTCCCTCAAATGTCTCCCCGCTCCCTACCCTCCACCCACCCCTGCAGCCCCGGCTCAAATCCTGGTCTTTTTTCCTTAATTTGTTTCCACCTCTGGGCTCCCCTACCTCCCAAGCGACCTCAAATTCACTTCCGGCTATACCCTGCCTCCATCCTCACCCCCAGCAAAAGCCTGTGGCCCTGTCACCCCACCCAAGCTCTCGGCCTGGCATCCAGGACCCGCCAGGACGTGGCCGCCCAACCACTCCCTGCCGCCGCTCACGTCTGGCCTTGGCTCGGGCTCCTGCGCCACCTGTGTGCACTCTGACCCCTAAGCCTGGCTCTGTGCACTCTGACCCCTAAGCCTGGCTCTGTGCACTCTGACCCCTAAGTCTGGGCCCAGGGCCTCTGTCCTTGGCCCTCTGCTTCAGGGACAGCACTTCCCATGCTGTGCAGCTGTCCGTGGACACGTCTGTCGGCCTAGACGACAGCTCCGGACAGGTGAGTGCCGTGTCTGTCTCAACACCTGCCTCTGGATCCGGGCAGAGCCTGGCACAGTCCTGACACTCAGACGCACCGGCGCATGGACAGGTAATGGCACTTTGAACACGGGCGGGCGCAGACGCCACTTCTCCCCTGAAGGGAATGCAGAAGGACCGGCTCAAGGTCATAGAAGTCATAAAAAAGGGCTAACGGGGCTGGCAGATGACTGTCGAGTGCAGGGCAGGCGGCTGGGGAACAGGATGGGGTGTCAGCTGAGCCCCGCAGGAGGGTGGCTGTGAGCACGAGGAGACGCGGGGCAGGGAGATGAGTCTTACCAATCGATCAGGTAGATGTCTGGAGTTAAGTTATTTTTCTTGAAATGAGCGAATAATTTTGGCAAATTTTCTTCAAAGAATACCTCGAATGCAGCAAAATAAGTCAACATCTGGGGAGAGAATGTGAAATACGTTAATAAACTGATTATCGGCACAAGTTCCCAGTCTACAAAACAAGTCACTGCACTGCTCTCTCCACGGTCTGACGACGACCTCCTCACGTGGCTGACGCGTCCGGACCGGCAGCGCGTCGTGCGCCACACGCACGGGCTCCGCGCGCACCCCGTCGCCTGCCTCGCCCTCCGCCTTCGCGCTCCGCGGGGTCCAGGCTCTTTATGAGCTGCGGGCTGCCGGCGACCCTGCATCGAACGCACCTGTCAGCGCCGCTTTTCCAGCGGGCGCGGGTGCCCGTGGGCACTTCTTAGCAATAAAGTGTTTTTACACCGTTTCATAGACGTGATGCTACTGCACGTTACCGTGTAACGGACACGAGAGCAGCAAACGGCACTCGTCTGGGCGCCGGGAAACCTAACGTGTCGGGGACTCGCTCCGCCTGCAGTGGTCGGGGCCGGACCGCGGGGTCTCCGCGGGCCCGCAGCACAGCCTCCGGCCTTCGCCTCGCCAGTTACATCTCATTCTTCAACTGATGACAAAGCTGAAGCCCACGGCAGTTACGCACTCGCCGGATGAGGCCGCACCGTTAACCTGTAGCTGGGACTTGCGCCCGAGCCCGTCCCACTGTCAGGCCGAGTCTTCACTGGCTCATTCCTCTCTGAGAACCGGGAATGGATTAACTGTCCAACGTGATCTGGGGCAGCAGGCGCGCCCCGCTCCCGAGCCCCGGCGTCCCTGGGGGAGACGACACCAGTATGTGCGGCACGGGCAGCTTCGCAGGGCCGCCGCGTAACGCAGCGAGGGAGAAGATGCGAAGGAAAAGCAGCAGCCGTCACGGCCTCCCTTCTGCCACGTTTCACCCCCCGGCAGGGTTTGCTGGAAGCCGAGACGCCTGCAGGGCAGCCGTGCGGAGCAGGAAGGGCAGCGAGGACCAGCGGGGAGTGACATGGGCTGAGGCGCTCATTCTGCTCTGCCGTCCACGAGCCGGATGCCCGTGGGCAGGGGACAGCTCTCCGATGCTGCCTGCCCGTCTCGGTCCTGCTAGGGTCCAGAGACAGGGCGGTCCCATGAACCAGAGGTTCCCAAGGGGGAAGGGCAGGGCATGACTCTGCCCCCCGGGACACATTTTTGAGAATCACAACTACAGGGAGGTGCTACTGGCTTCCCAGGGATGCTAGACAGCTAGACAGCTTCCAGTGCCCGGGACAGCCCCCCCAAGACCACCGCGCCCCAAATGCCAGCAGCGCTCCGAGAAACCCTGCTGTGAATGAGGGTCTCGTTCGACATTAAGATTCTATGATTTTTCCTTAAAAATTAGGCTAAAATTCTTAAGTACAATTTTTATCACATTTCCAAAGAGGAATCTGGGATCTTATCTACAGAATTAGGAGACGTTTAAGACGTAAGTCATTTTACTAGACGTAAAAAGTGTTCCCTGACTATGAAAGTACTAGAAGTACAGAAATGCATAAATAGGCCATCCGTAAGCACTACGAATGTGGCGTGTTTCCTTTTACTGGTAAATATGGTCTCTATTATGGCATGTGTTCTGTTTTATGCACTTTTTTTAAGAACTGGCATTTTATCTTAGTTTTCTACAGTACAGTTTTTTGTAAATATCAGTATCGCACTGGATATATGACCAGATTTTAGTTAACTGTTTTGTATTTCCTTAAGCCTCATTTTTAAATATCTTCATCTTCACAATGAAAAATCATTTCAAATTACTATTAAATAATTACACACAACTGCGTGACAACCATCTTTGTGCATGATGCTTTGCCCACACGTGTGACTTCCTTAGAATCTATTCTCACAAGCAGAATTACGTACCAACGCCATTTACTGCTGTCGACTCTTAATATCAAATTTCTTCCAAAAGGATTCTACCAATTTATACTTCCCTTAATAGCCACTAGTTTAGCAGTGGTTTTTAAATTTTTTTTTTTAATGCATGTACTGCCTGAGCAAGAAATACTCAGGAGTCCTTAAGATATTAGGGAGGCAATACTCTCTAGCTGATTTAACTATCAGATCTCTTTGGTCTGGAAGTACTCGCGATGCTCATTGGCAAACTATCAGCAAATCGAGACAATGCTAATTAAGAAGCTGCTGGATTTGTTAACTCAGAGACCTTCCTTGGCTACGGAAAGCAGCAGGCTTAGGAAGCAGAACGGGCAGGTCTGGCTCTCGCACTCCCCGGCCGTGTGCCTTCCACGAGCTGTGTCACTTCTGGGCCTCGCCTCCTCCCCTGTGCCGAGCAGAGGCCCCACCTCTGGGGTAGAAGAGGGGCCTCCCGGCGCCACTTCAACCACCTCTGGGCATCGTGCTGGCAGGAAGATGGGACTGACCCACGGAAGCCCTCCACGGACCTGCGCCCGACGCACCGCCGCCTTTGTCAAATCCGGGAGCCCCTCAGACCCGCGTCCTGCCCGGGGAGAGCACCGCACGAGGCAGGCGGCGGGAGCGGCAGCAGCAGTGTCCGCTACGCTACACCACATTCCATGCGACACACACATGGGGACTGCGTGCTGGCCAGTGTGTCTGTGCAGGAGCCACCCCTCCTCCTCGCTCCTCCCTCGTTTGAAGAATGGACTTTCAGAAAAACTTTCTGGAAGAATGTATTCAGAAATCTATACATACGGCTATTAACCGAGCGTTTTCAAAATTCAACACAATGCCCGAATAATCCTCCGCCTTCGACAGTGCCACTTATTCTGAAGACCTCTTCGTAGAGGGAAATGTGTTCTTTTTCCCGCCGAAGAGACGGAATTAGGCAACTCTAGCTGTGAGCAGACACAGTGCCCGGGGCATACGCACAGGGGATACTCACGAGGCCATGGTCCACTCGGAAAAATGCCATTTGACACGGTTTATTCAAGAGATTAGAAAAAGCAATGAAGGCATCTTCAGTATCTAAGTTCAAGATCAACACCGCGGCTATGAAGGACATGCCCTGCACCTGACGGGAGAGAAGGGGTGTTGAGCTCACAGCAGCCTGCGCGTCACAACGCTCTTTGTCACGAGAAGGAGAGCCCAAAGGCCCTCCTGCTGGCAGGGCGGCCCAGCCACCCACTGCCACCCACTGCCACCCACTGGCAGCTGAACGAGCAGCCTCGGTTCCGACCTGCTTGCTTGGAACCAACGCTCTGCCACACCCGCCACCCTGACTGCTCTCCTTCGCCCCGCCCCCACGGCCACATGGAAAACCATAAACTGACCCCTCCTTATGCATCTGCCACCTGAAACACTGTCCCCTATAGTTTCCTGGTGCCATAGAGCGTATGTTTCATTTAACGTGTTAAGTCAAGAACCATGCACACACATCTGCCAAGCTGCAGACACGTCGGCAGCAGTTTTAAAATGGTTACTGCTTAAAGGCTCTTTTGATTTAATGCTGAAAAAAAAAATCACATGCAAAAAATGAAAATCAAATCCAATTAAAATGTGAAGAATGTCACTGAGCAGCCAAGCTGCTCGATTTCTTTGCAAGATAACAGGCAACTCGTTTACCGTGAGACTTCCCATACTCCCCAGCAAAAAATGAGGGCATTCGACTTGACATCTGTAGCCAAGATGCACTGGGCAATATTCTGACTTTCTTTTTAGATGATAACATTATAAAATATTGAAAAAGTTCACTTACATAGCCCACATCCGGTCGGTAACAAGTATACGCGCCCAAAATACTGTGCAACATGTCATGATACGGGCCGCCCTAGAAGGATCAACACAGCAAACACATGCAGAGGTCTTGTTAGAGCTCGGAATGACAAATGAGGCTTTGCCACCACCGCTAGTCACACGCTGCTGACAGGGGAGGAAGCAGACGCTAAGCATGGTGCTAGCAGCGAGCCGCCAGCCCCGGGTTAGCAAGGGACTCAGGTGTGAGCACCTCGCGAGAAAAACATCCTTAGTTTGGTTCCTGCTGTATGCATAACTATAATCCCCTGTAGAGTTGAACAGGTGACCAGGTAGCCCGGGTTTCTACAAACCAGGCGAGTGCTGACTGTCCATCCGCCTCCCAGGCGAGTGCTGACTGTCCATCCGCCTCCCAGGCGAGTGCTGAGTGTCCGCCCTGCCCCCACCGTCCGTCTGTCTGTCCCCTCCTTTGCTCCTTCTCTGGTTTTCTACGTGGCAGTAAGTTTAGCAAACACACGCTGCATCTTCAGCCCCGATCGCCCCCATTTTATTCCACGCCCTCAGTTCTTCCGTCCCTACAAGATTTCCACGTGTTCCTCTGATTCCTTCTAAAACTTTAAGTTGTGGTTTCTTTTTCCTGACTGAGCACAGAGGCGCCTCCCGCTGAGGCCGGCACGTCTGGGGGACTGGCCCGGTCACCAAACCCTCCCGTCTGCACCGTCCACTTGGCTGCAGTTAACACAAAGAAAAAGTGCACCTGGTGTGTGACTAGAAGTCACTCCCCAGGGGACCGCACGTGGCTGACAAAAAGAATGCCATGGTCACATTCTGACACGTAAGAAGGAAGAGCCGCGCCTAGGACACGGAGGGACGAAAGAAAACACGGCAACGGGAGGGTGGCGATGACACCCCGGGCTAGGGGGCAGGAGGGGGCGGACAGGGCGGGGTCCCCCGGGGCTGGCTTCAACGCCCAGGGGTGTCACCAGGCCGGGGCTTCCCATACATGCATTTCAAAGGAAGGGCAGAACCGGCCTCAAAAGCAGAAACACAGCCATGTCAAAAATGTGTTCAAAAGCATCGGCTACCCTTATCTTTAAAAGTCTAAAGGTAGTAACGTAAGACCCACCCTCCCTCTGTAGCCCCCCCAAAATACCTAAGTATTTTCCAAACCTGATTATAAACTTGATTATGTGTAGTTTGACATCTCTGAATTTCAGACAAAACATACTTGAGAACGACAAATCACCACCGCCTACCTGCTGGAAAATGCAGAGGTTAGGGAACGTTCGAGAAATGTCCAGCTTAATAAGCTCCAGACTGGCTTCTCTGTCCGCTGCTGGGAAACTGGCATCTACCAAAAGATCGAGAGTCATTACACCTCAGAGGTGAGCACGTGGCGTCACTGCAAGGCTCTGACATTTTATGAGAAAAAAACGAGGAAAAGAAGCTCTTCGGAAGTTCATGGACCTAACTAATTACAACTGAAACCCACGGGGTCCGCCCTTGAAGTTTATAACTGTAGCTTCTTAAAGAGCAAAAATCTCATGACACCATCTAATGCTAGATCGTCATCACCTGATATTTTCTAGAGTACGAAATAAAAACCTCATTTGATATTACCTTTCATCGACAGTCAGTGGAAGCAATCGAGCAAGTAAGGGCATGTACACAAATAAATTCCAGGCCGAGAAAACCACCAAAGAATCATCGCCTGAGCTAAAACGTCACCGGTGCACACTTAGGACATGTGGGAGCTGTGGCAGCATGACCCTCACGTGCACCGTTCCTACAAATACTTACGAATAACTTGGTTTGTTTTTTTGAATGTCAACACCGCATAGATGATATAAAAAAAGATCAATAGAAAACACAGTATTTGACCAACAGAAGTATTCTCGTGTTACGGGAACTTCTGAAAGCATCGTCTGGCAAACACGCAGAGCTCTCGTCTCTTTGTAAGCAGTTCCGAAGCTCCTCTGGGACGCCCGAGTGACCCTGGGTGCCAGGCGACTGCACATCACATGAACGAGGCAAAGGAAGCCATGTGATTCTGACCGGCACCCAGCACGGGAGGACACACGCCTCGCGGGACCCGCTACGTTCTCTTCCTCATGGAAGCTTTTCTCTTTAGCCTGTTTGCTCTAAAAAGAGTCCCTTTCCCATGAAGCTTTTTGTAAATTTGCACCAACCACTCCCTGAGTTAAGCGCACTGTCTTTGTAACGTAATAATGACGCCCGGCACTGACCAAGTGCCCAGCAGCCTCGGCGCCGAGCTTACCCTCGATCTCCACCTCCGAGCCTCCTGCGCTGAGGGACCGCCACCTCTCCTTGGCCCGGGCCAGACAGATGTCGAAGAGCTCTGGAAGAGAAGCCCCAGGTCAGTCCCATGCGCGCGTGTGACTATGGGTCCACTGCGGCCTCTTCCGACTACTTAAAGGCCATCTACGGACCACATATATATGAAGGCTCCGTAAAGGGACCCCCCGACTTGGCCTGAAGGTACTTCTACTGTCTACAGACACCACCAAGTACAAAGAAAGGACACGCAAGATACCACTATGCCTGTCATTTACTTCTATCACACAGCCCCCCGCAAAACGAGAATCTGACGTGTGTGTGAGTCTGTCGCCTACCGGGCTGGGGGCTCCTTGCGGTAAGACCACGAGGTCCCCCTCATTCACATCCGTATCCAGAGCACACAGCACTGGGACAGACACGGGTCAGTACCATCGACAACCATCCGACTGGGGAAGGGAAGGGCGCCGGCAGGAATCCCAGCTGGTTCCAAATAAAGACAGGCTGGAACTGCTCCCCGGGGCACGGTCTCCCCAGCCCTGCTGCCTAAAGCGGGGCGGGGGGCACGCAAAGCAGGGGCAGCCTTCAGAAAAGAAGAGTGCTTGTGGCAGCAGCGAAGCATCAAGACGGGTCCCCACGAGACAGCGTCCAAACCTCCTCCACATCAGGACCTATTTTTCAGTAACTCTTTGAGTAGTTTGGTAGTAACACAGAAATGACTCACGTCCACAGCTTGTACTGTTACATGCAGGCCTCCACGAGCACGGAGGGAGAACCCCACAGAGACCCGGCAGCCCCGCTGGCCCGCCCCGGGCCC